ATAGGAATAAGACAGGTAAACATGCACCAACAGGAAATACAGTCACAGAAACCCAAGGCAAACAGAAACCAAGCCTGTGCTTGGTATCTTGGTATCTGCTGGCATGGGAAATCTGGAAAAACAGATGGGACGTGCAACTATGACCACCCTAGAAAAGGCCGTGGCCATATGACAACAGGAAAATGCAAACTTCCTTTCTGTAAGCTTTTTCACCCTGAAATGTGCCCCTCTTCAGTTGTTAGGTAAGACACATATGCAACAGTTAGGTATCTTTATTATGAAACGTTTCGCCTACACAGTAGGCTTCTTCAGTCAAGTACAGAAAAGTTGATAGAAGCAGAAGATACTTGAAGACGATGTAATCAGTCCATCACCCTTAAAGTTTTGAGGTGGTCAGTCCCTCAGTCTGGAGAAGAGCACTGTTCCATAGTATGAAACAATACTATGGAACAGTGCTCTTCTCCAGACTGAGGGACTGACCACCTCAAAACTTTAAGGGTGATGGACTGATTACATCGTCTTCAAGTATCTTCTGCTTCTATCAACTTTTCTGTACTTGACTGAAGAAGCCTACTGTGTAGGCGAAACGTTTCATAATAAAGATACCTAACTGTTGCATATGTGTCTTACCTAACAACCTGTCGGTATTTTATACCATTTTAATGTTCAGCCCCTCTTCAGTATAGGAAAGACTGTGCTGTAACTTAAATTGCCGGCACACCATCTAAAGGGGACAAAAAGATACAAAACATCCAGGCCATGGGAAAACCTGGGTAGCCACAGCCACTCAAGAGGGAGAGGTTTTTTAGTGCCAGGAAGGGAAAAAAACTGGCAGGAAATGGCAGAAATCGGACACCAAATCCAGTCATTCCTGGAGTGGAACCACAGTCGATGGCCTCCACTCCAAACCAACACATACAGATACTAATGCCGGAAAAAAAATCCCCCCCCAGTACCAACAATACCACCAGTCCGATGACATTCTTCTTTGCAAATATACAGGGTCTAAAGCCAGCAACAAACAACAAAATACCTTTCATCCGTGGACTGCTTGCAGAGGCAAAGGCAATGTTCGCGGCTTTCACTGAGACCCACATAAAGGATCACTTGGACAACGAAATATGGATACCAGGTTACAACCTATACAGATGCGACAGAGTGAACAGGCAAAAGGGAGGGTTGGCATGAACATCACTGAGTCACTTGTTTGCACAGAACTGCTTAATGCCTGAAATGATGTAGTGGAAGTTTCAGCAGTAAAGATCAAGAACCAAAACCTAGTCATTGTGGTAGTCTACAAGCCTCCGGATGCAACGTCCCAGCAATTCCAGGAACAGCTGTTAAAAATTGACCACTGTCTGGAAAATCTGCCAGCTCATGCCCCCAACATCTTGCTCCTAGGGGATTTCTACCTAAGGCACCTAAATGGAGGAATATAGCAAATAATGTTGTTGCAGTAATAACACCAGGATGCAGCAATGACGAAAACACACACACACACGAGCTTTTAAATCTCTGCACAAAATTCAATTTAAACCAGCAAATAATAGAGCCTACTAGACTGGAGAATACACTAGACCTTATCTTCACTAACAATGATGATCTGATACGAAATGTCACCATATCAAAAACAATATATTATGAGAGAGCCACAAAATTTGGTTAACACAAACCTATCCGATGTTATCCTGACGCCAAATGACTTCGAACAGGCGATAAATGACATGCCCATGCACTCTGCCCCAGGGCCAGACTCATGGAACTCCGTGTTCATCAAGAACTGCAAGAAGCCCCTATCACGAGCCTTTTCCATCATATGGAGAGGGAGCATGGACACGGGGGTCGTCCCACAGTTACTAAAAACAACAGACATAACCCCACTCCACAAAGGGGGCAGTAAAGCAACAGCAAAGAACTACAGACCGATAGCACTAACATCCCATATCATAAAAATCTTTGAAAGGGTCCTAAGAAGCAAGATCACCACCCATCTAGAAACCCATCAGTTACACAACCCAGGGCAACATGGGTTTAGAACAGGTCGCTCCTGTCTGTCTCAACTATTGGATCACTACGACAAGATCCTAAATGCACTAGAAGATAAAAAGAATGCAGATGTAATATATACAGACTTTGCAAAAGCCTTCGACAAGTGTGACCATGGCGTAATAGCGCACAAAATGCGTGCTAAAGGGATAACAGGAAAAGTTGGTCGATGGATCTATAATTTCCTCACTAACAGAACACAGAGAGTAGTCGTCAACAGAGTAAAGTCCGAGGCAGCTACGGTGAAAAGCTCTGTTCCACAAGGCACAGTACTCGCTCCCATCTTGTTCCTCATCCTCATATCCGACATAGACAAGGATGTCAGCCACAGCACCGTGTCTTCCTTTGCAGATGACACCCGAATCTGCATGACAGTGTCTTCCATTGCAGACACTGCAAGGCTCCAGGCGGACATCAACCAAATCTTTCAGTGGGCTGCAGAAAACAATATGAAGTTCAACGATGAGGAATTTCAATTACTCAGATATGGTAAACACGAGGAAATTAAATCTTCATCAGAGTACAAAACAAATTCTGGCCACAAAATAGACCGAAACACCAACGTCAAAGACCTGGGAGTGATCATGTCGGAGGATCTCACCTTCAAGGACCATAACAGTGTATCAATCGCATCTTCTAGAAAAATGACAGGATGGATAATGAGAACCTTCAAAACTAGGGAGGCCAAGCCCATGATGACACTCTTCAGGTCACTTGTTCTATCTAGGCTGGAATATTGCTGCAAACTAACAGCACCTTTCAAGGCAGGTGAAATTGCTGACCTAGAAAATGTACAGAGAACCTTCACAGCACGCATAACGGAGATAAAACACCTCAATTACTGGGAGCGCTTGAGGTTCCTGAACCTGTATTCCCTGGAACGCAGGCGGGAGAGATACATGATTATATACACCTGGAAAATCCTAGAGGGACTAGCACCGAACTTGCACACGAAAATCACTCACAAGGAAAGCAAAAGACTTGGCAGACGATGCAACATCCCCCCAATGAAAAGCAGGGGGTGTCACTAGCACGTTAAGAGACCATACAATAAGTGTCAGGGGCCCGAGACTGTTCAACTGCCTCCCAGCATACATAAGGGGGATTACCAACAGACCCCTGGCAGTCTTCAAGCTGGCACTGGAAAAGCACTTAAAGTCGGTTCCTGACCAGCCGGGCTGTGGCTCGTACGTTGGTTTGCGTGCAGCCAGCAGTAACAGCCTAGTTGATCAGGCTCTGATCCACCAGGAGGCCTGGTCACAGACCGGGCCGCGGGAGCGTTGACCCCCGGAGCTTTCTCCAGGTAAATTCCAGGTAAACTGTGGCTGTAATGAAGCTTAACTTTGTGTGCATAAAAAGAATGAGGTAAATATGAGTTTGTGTGATGACTGACTGACTGATTCACTGATTTACTTAACTGACTGACCTACTGACTGTATTACAGACTAACTTACTGGCTTGACTGACAAACTTACAGACTTGACTGATGTACGACTTACTTGACTGACTGTATTACTGACTGACTTGATTGACTCACTCACTGACTGACTTGACTGACTGACTGACTTACTGACTTGACTGATTTACTAACTTAAAGTTAGACTTTTTCACTGAAGAGAACCCTGAAATGGTGTCTCGAGCAGCTGATGCCATACCATCAGTTGTATAATGTACTGCAGGGTGATATAGAACCGAAATCCATCACAGAATTTATGCTCACTCCAATACAGCAATTGACTTCAGTACTAGAACCTGTACCAGCCACCTCAGCCCAGTAGGGCCACAGCATAACTCTCCAATCTACACAATCGTCCACACACACATAGGTAAGTACTGGTTTTCTAACAGAGTTGTAGATGCGTGGAACAGTCTTCCCAGTGGGGTGATAGAGGCTAGGACCTTGGGTAGCTTTAAGAAGAGACTGGACAAATATATGAGTGGGAGGGGCTGGGTTTGATTGGTGTTGGGGGGTGCGGGAGTTGTTTCTTGAGTAGCTTTAGGTAGATGTCATTTTGATAAGGACCTGCCTCGTATGGGCCAGTAGGCCTTCTGCAGAGTTCCTACATTCTTATGTTCTTATTGTTTGTGTTGCATTTGTAATCTTAAGCAGTAAAAAAAAACATAATAAATCACGACAGTGAACTACAATTACATATTCACTTTTATTTTTGTAAGATCAGGGGTCTAAAAAAAAAAAGTTGTTTGGCTTTTTGGTGGCTCCCAGGAATGTAACCCTATTTTTTCCATAAGTTCTTCAGTATGTTTAACACAGTTTTGAGTAAAACGGCATTTTCAGGAACGCAGCTGTCAGTAATACTGTGTACTGTGGAACATTCTGTTAAAACTATTACTGTGAGTCATTGCCTCCCTGTATGATGTCATGAGTCCCCTTTCCTTTTGAACTACCTTGCCCCAGGGCGGTAGTCTGTCAGAGAGTGGAGTTGAAGGCGATAGCAGACTACAAGGCCAGGCTCTGGGTTCTCCTACAGAACACTATACGTATTATATGCTACCTGTCATCCAAGTGGTAGTTTAACTTATCCAAAATATACTATATAAAAAGCCTCTTGTTATGCAGAGCATTTTGGGTAATTTTATCCCCAGGAAGCCCACACCAGTCGGCTAACACCCAGGTAGCTATTTACTGCTAGGTGAGCAGGGTCAGCAGGTGTCTTAAAGAAACATGTCCAAATGATCCCCCTCCCCCTACCGGGGACTAAACCACGCAATCAAACTTGGAAGCCTCTTTTTTTTTCTACAAGCCAAGTGCTTGTGACCACTGAGCTGTAGATCATTTAAGCAAGTCAGAATGAGTATCTGAGGAACACAGTTACAGTGAATTTATAAATGTTTGTGTGTGTGTGAGAAGGTTTGAAAATTTTGCTCAAAAATAAGTTTAACAACACCACTTAAAAATTAATAAAGTATGTACATACAGAACAAAAAGCAGTACAAGTTGCAGCATGAAACGGTGGAGTGGTCGTGTTGCCTTGGTTACAGGAGCCAGTGCTGGTATTGGGGCAGCTATCTGTAGGCAACTTGTTGAAGCCGGCATGATTGTTGTTGGTGCTGCACGTAATGAAGAGAGGATTAAGGTATTGTATGTTAATATAGTTAGTTTACTTGCTTTAAGAATACTAAAAACATTAATTTGGAGATTTAGTATTTTCCATTAATACATGTAATATTCTGTGGTAAACATTAAATAATATGTATTAGACTGAAAATTATATAATTGATATGTGATAGTAAATGGGAATTGAGAACAATAAAATAACTTAATACAACCTCTCCCCATTTAACGACGGAGTTCTGTTCCTAAGACCACGTCAGTAAACAAATATGTCACTAAGTGAGGAGCATACTATAATGATAGTGGGTTTCAGTCAACCATATGTGATATTGTTTTAATGTCAACTTTGCACCATTTATATCATTTCTGGTATATTTTTAAATGTTTGTACAGCAGTGTACTGTAGAGATAAACAAATAGAGGAAATCAGCTCCAATATACAATATTTAGGTATGCATACTGGTCAGAGAGCCCGTCGTAAGACAGAGTCATCGGGAAACGAGTTCGTCGCTAAGTGAGGGAAGGCTGTATTTAGTTTTGAAAATGTCTTGTATCATTGAAAAATTGGGATATTAAAATGCATAAAAATGTGAATTTTATAATTTGAGTGTGGGTTGGATATATTGGAATACAGTACAGTACTTGAAATTACCTCAGTCCGTCACGTATATAATTTTCCAGGCTCTTGCAAGTGAACTGGCTAACAAACGTGGCTCTCTAACTCCAGTTAAGTGTGACGTCTCCAAAGACAATGATATCCTCAATCTGTTTTCTACCATTAAACAGAAGTTTGGAGGTGTTGATGTGTGTATCAACAATGCTGGAATGTCTCACACCAAATCCCTCTTAGGTTTGTGCTAGAGCAAAAAGTGTTATATTAAATAGTGATATTTCTAAAATTGGGTTAATGAACTGCAAAATTTCTGTAGCAATTTGTTGAACTAATTCCATAAACATGTTTTCCATACTTTACAATGTAGTACAGTCTTGTGGGAATTTGTTCTGAAAACATTACAGTAATCCAAGGTTTATCTAACTCAGGGATGTGAAGGTTTACCGCCCTGAACAATTCAGACAGTTTTACCAAAGGCTGGCTCCTCCTCAGGAAAATTAATGAAGAGAAAAAGAAATAATAATTCACAAAGATAAACACTTTATTATATATTAATGCAAAGATAAAAAAAGTGAAAACATAAGGTGTATCCTATTTGAAAAAAAAATGAAAAATGAAAAAAAAAATGACATTGAATTCAACGCTAATAGAAACAGTTTACGGAGTTCTGGTGGGGGTGACACTTTTGTAAAAATTGTCCCGTTGCTGATGATGGGGGGGGGGGTCCGGGTTTGGGAAACCCAACGACTAGTTCTTCACGAGTCTATAGCCTTGAAAGTCCCAGTCCAGAGACAGGAAAGCAGGTTCTTTCCACACAAAGAGAGGGTTTGTTGCTTGCTGTAGCCTCATTAATCGGGAAAGGTAGACCCAAAAAGAAAACGTCTCCGGACTTTTGCAAAAGTCCTTCTCTTCAACACTTCTCTTTGGTTGGCAGGTGCCCCGATCTGTCTTTCCCAAAAAGCTGGAAAGAGAGACAGGTTACCCACTGTTTAAGAAACACTCTCCATGTAAGTACAAACCAAAAAGACGTGGTGATTATAAAAACTCTAACATGGAGCAAGGCTAAAAGGACTAAGTTTTTTTATTGGTCAAAAGTGAAGCTTTCAACCAATAAGTCCACTAAATAGGGCAGAGCTTTTATTCAGTTGTGCGGGGGCGTGAGTCGAGGATTCGTTTGGGGAGCCTCCACCCACCTTCCGGGGGGGGGAGAAAGGGGGGGGTAGCGGGGGCAGATTACCCACCTTAAAAAAGCACCAGCAATCAAACCGTTACCTTTTACCGGCTACTCCTATCTGTTTAACTTTTCCCCCACAGGCATCAAGGCCACATGTGGCCTTCTAGGGTATTTAGTGCGGCCTCCAGAATGAATTATTTTTATTGGAGTTATTGTATAATAATTAATTTTTTACGAAATAGTCGACATTTTTTAGCACGTATATCTAATCAAAATTTCTTGAATGTAGCCTTATTACATTTCAACCAACTTTAATGCTGTCTTCCAACATAAAAAGGTTCCCTAACCAATCCCTGAAATATGTTTTCCAAATTTCAAAATGTAATTTAATGTTTTGAGCTATAATATATACCACTTATGGAAGCAGTAAGTAAGAGTGGTGAAGGCTTATAAACTAAAGGAGGAGGCAGTTAGGGTAAGATATAAACAACTATTGGAGGATAGATGGGCTGGTGAGAGTATAGGCATTGGGGTCAAAGATGTATGGGGTAGGTTTAAGAATGTAGTGTTAGAGTGTTCAGCAGAAGTTTGTAGTTGCTGAAAAGTGGGTGTGGGAGGGAAGAAGAGCAATTGGTTGAATGATAATGTAAAGAGAGTAGTAAAAGAAAAAAGTTAGCATATGTGAGGTTTATACAAAGTAGAAGTGATTCAAGGAAGGAGTATATGGAGAGAAAGAGAGAGATTAAGCAAGTGGTGAAGCAATGTAAAAAGAGAGGAAATGAGAGAGTGGGTGAGATGTTATTAACAAATTTTTTTGAAAAAAATAAAAAAAAAAGTTTTAGAATGAGATCAACAAGTTGAGGAAGCCTAGGGAACAAATGGATCTGATATTTAAAAATAGGAGAAGAGAGTTATTAAATGGAAAGCCAATGTCCACCTCAAGAGGTGACTGTTGGTTCCCTTAAAAGTTTCTAGGTATATCAAAGGTTTGTGATCCGTCTAAAATGAATTCTTTTCCCAGCAAATAAAATTTAATTTTGGAGATATCCCACGCAAGGGCCAAACATTCCTTTTCTATGGTGGAGTATCTCGTTTCTGCAAGAGGGAAGTTTTAGATTTAATAAATACACAGGAACTAGGAGTGTGTATTTTGTGCAGCAAGCACCTGACACCTATTGCAAGAACTATACTTCTTTGTAACCTGAGAATACATGCTTGGCCAAAAATAAGTGTGCTTGAGTTTATGCCACGTCTTACGATGGGCCAAGTGTTTGGTCACTGGCAAATCATGAGCCATTTGAAGAACAGTCTCTCGACATGGTTTAGGAACAACAAGGATGGAATAATCTATCACTGAAGAATGAGATTTAAATACAGATTTATATAAGATACCATTAATATATTCAAACTTATGAGATACGTATCTCCCGTGGATAACTTTGTTGTTAAAAGCTTGATTATGACAATCCCGAAGTGAAGGGCAATTGTGCTGTATACTGACAAAGTCATCCTTGGACATAAAATCTGGGAAAATAAAAGGACTTACACTGGGAGAAGAGGAGGTAGGAGAAGCCGGGGTTATGGTCTGAGCCCTAGTCAAGACATTGAGAGTGCCGGAGGCAATACCCTTACTTTCACCTGACGAGTGGACAGGTGATCCTGTTACCTCTCTATCGAGAGCAGTATCTGTTTCCACCCCCAAATGAACAGTACAAGACAATGCAGCTTCTGGTGCAGAATTGTTAAGGGGTTTATTTAACTTGCAAGGAAAGATTTAGATTTTGCCACCGAAGTGGCTAGTTTATTGTGCACCCCATATCCATCCTGTGGACGGTAGCGCGAGAGCATATGGATACATAAAAGGCCTAGGAACTAGGCCCCAAAGGGTTAACAGGAATACATATGGATTTATATCTACATATCTATAGTTCACTTATCTGTTACAAGCAAATTTAGGAAATTTGCTTAGTATATCTGGTATCTTATTTTCATTAATAAGATATCTTGACATGTCACATAGGTTATTATAATGTCTGTCTCTGAATTCCTCAATAAGTGGACAATTAAGCACATAGTGTTCAAGAGAGTGACCATATGCCTGATCACATAATTTACATTTAGTTTGATCATCATCTGTGTGTCTCCCAAACTGCCAGAAGTACTTGTAACCAAACCTAAGCCTGGCCACTACAACATCAGTCAGTCTGTTCACATTGCAAGTTGCTCCATAAACATACTTATCTACGTTCATGTTATCATAGTGGGTTATAGATCTACTCAGGCTTCTAACTGCATTCCTATAACAATCATTTTCACTATTTACTTCTCTCCTAATATTATTCCTAATGCTAGACACAGTTATACCAAAGTTATATTCTACATTCTCCTTCTGGGTACTCTTCTTGGCTAACATATCAACTTTATCATGAAGGAGTAATCCAATGTGTGATGGAATCCATAGCAATTGTACATTAATTCCTTTGTCACTAATTTTTGAGTATCTATACCTGGCTTCTCCAATGAGCATGTTGTTGGAGTCATACTTGCAAGGAAGAGGAGCTGGAAAATTTAGATCCACGGGTGGTGACGAAAGATCCGCCTCTGAAGGAAGAACGGCACCTTTAATGTTACCCACTATTATAGAACAAGTAATTGGGGCTAGTACCGCATTGGTCCAACCGGTGAACCATTTAGTTTTCAAGTAACAACGTATTGTAGGGAAAGTATTTTCACGACCCAAGTAATCTGAAAGAATAAAGGACACACGAGAGGTTTTAAAGTAAGGGAAAAGTTTGTCCGAAATTACGATGCACGTACATCCAGTGTCACGTAATATGTCTGAGACTTTTATACCATTAACTGCTCCTGAACAGAAGAGTGCTTGGTCATTACCGACAACAAAACATCTACCAACTTTCTCTATTTTCTTGGAAGGACAATCTGGACGTTTATGTCCGATACCACCACACCGATGACATGTTGGTATAATAGCTGGTGACTTTTTTCTACTGTAGGCTTCTTAATCTTTGGTTCAGGTGAACCCTTGCCCTTAAGGTTCGATCCCTTTAGGACTTTATAGGAATTGTGAGCCTCAGCATACAAGTCAGCGGCCTCAGCAACTTCATCAGCTTTAATCAGGTTACGTTCTCTAATGAATGTTCGTATCTGGTGAGGAAGAGCTGTCAGGAACTGGTCAGCAACCATGAAGTCTCTAAGAGATTCATAACTGTGATCAATTCCTGAACTCTATCCAAAAGTCGAACAAACGAGAGTGTTACCTGTAACTGCTGAAAGTTTTGGCCCGGCTGTAAGGTGGCATACCTGAAATCTTTCCTATAAGAATTTGTGGTTTTTTTATATGCTTTAAGGATTGCCTTCTTCAGTAGGTTATAATTACATATGATATCCTGCGACAAAGTTGCAAAGATATTCAAAGCTGTACCAGAAAATAACATCCCTAACCTGGTAGCCCAGGTGTCAGCAGGCCATTCACAGAGGGTAGCGGTATTTTCAAACATGATTATGTATGAAGTTATGTCTTCACCCTCTGTGAAGGGAGGTAAATTAGGTGTTGGAATATGTGCACTAGCTGCATGATGTTCAATTACTCCTTCCTCTAATTGTTGTTGTGTAAAAGCTAACTTTTTATTCTCTAATTCAAGGTGAGAATTTTCTAGCTCACGATCTTTTTCTCTCTCTCTTAATTCATATTCTCTAGCTTTTTCCTCATGTTCTCTAGCTCTTTCCTCGACTTCTCTATCCTTTGCTCTTTCCTCAAGTTCTCTTAATTTAACTTGTTCCTCACGTACTTTAGCTCTCTCCTCACGATCAAGTCACGCTCCTTTTTCTCCTCTCTTTCTCTTTCTTGATTTTCTCTTTCAATTCGATCTCTCTCCTTTTTATCCTCCTTTTGATTCTCTCTCTCTCCATTTTCTCCTCTCCTTCTACTCTTTCTCTCTCCTTTTTCTCCTCTCTTTCTCTTTCTAACTGTCTTTCTTGGTTCTCTCTCTCTATTCTTTCTCTCACCTTTCTCTCCTCTGTCTCTATTCTTTCTTTCTCCTTT